GCCTAAGCCTAAGCCTAAGCCTAAGCCTAAGCCTAACCTAAGCCTAAGCCTAAGCCTAAGCCTAAGCCTAAGCCTAAGCCTAAGCCTAAGCCTAAGCCTAAGCCTAAGCCTAAGCCTAAGCCTAAGCCTAAGCCTAAGCCTAAGCCTAACCTAAGCCTAAGCCTAAGCCTAAGCCTAAGCCTAAGCCTAAGCCTAAGCCTAAGCCTAAGCCTAAGCCTAAGCCTAAGCCTAAGCCTAAGCCTAAGCCTAAGCCTAAGCCTAAGCCTAAGCCTAAGCCTAAGCCTAAGCCTAAGCCTAAGCCTAAGCCTAAGCTAAGCCTAAGCCTAACCTAAGCCTAAGCCTAAGCCTAAGCCTAAGCCTAAGCCTAAGCCTAAGCCTAAGCCTAAGCCTAAGCCTAAGCCTAAGCCTAAGCCTAAGCCTAAGCCTAAGCCTAAGCCTAAGCCTAAGCCTAAGCTAAGCCTAAGCCTAAGCCTAAGCCTAAGCCTAAGCCTAAGCCTAAGCCTAAGCCTAAGCCTAAGCCTAAGCCTAAGCCTAAGCTAAGCCTAAGCCTAAGCCTAAGCCTAAGCCTAAGCCTAAGCCTAAGCCTAAGCCTAAGCCTAAGCCTAAGCCTAAGCCTAAGCCTAAGCCTAAGCTAAGCCTAAGCCTAAGCCTAAGCCTAAGCCTAAGCCTAAGCCTAAGCCTAAGCCTAAGCCTAAGCCTAAGCCTAAGCCTAAGCCTAAGCCTAAGCCTAAGCCTAAGCCTAAGCCTAAGCCTAAGCTAAGCCTAAGCCTAAGCCTAAGCCTAAGCCTAAGCCTAAGCCTAAGCCTAAGCCTAAGCCTAAGCTAAGCCTAAGCCTAAGCCTAAGCCTAAGCCTAAGCCTAAGCCTAAGCCTAAGCCTAAGCCTAAGCCTAAGCTAAGCCTAAGCCTAAGCCTAAGCCTAAGCCTAAGCCTAAGCCTAAGCCTAAGCCTAAGCCTAAGCCTAAGCCTAAGCCTAAGCCTAAGCCTAAGCCTAAGCCTAACCTAAGCCTAAGCCTAAGCCTAAGCCTAAGCCTAAGCCTAAGCCTAAGCCTAAGCCTAAGCCTAAGCCTAACCTAAGCCTAAGCCTAAGCCTAAGCCTAAGCCTAAGCCTAAGCCTAAGCCTAAGCCTAAGCCTAAGCCTAAGCCTAAGCCTAAGCCTAAGCCTAAGCCTAACCTAAGCCTAAGCCTAAGCCTAAGCCTAAGCCTAAGCCTAAGCCTAAGCCTAAGCCTAAGCTAAGCCTAAGCCTAAGCCTAAGCCTAAGCCTAAGCCTAAGCCTAAGCCTAAGCCTAAGCCTAAGCCTAAGCCTAAGCCTAAGCCTAAGCCTAAGCCTAAGCCTAAGCCTAAGCCTAAGCCTAAGCCTAAGCCTAAGCCTAAGCCTAAGCCTAAGCCTAAGCCTAAGCCTAAGCCTAAGCCTAAGCCTAAGCCTAAGCCTAAGCCTAAGCCTAAGCCTAAGCCTAAGCCTAACCTAAGCCTAAGCCTAAGCCTAAGCCTAAGCCTAAGCCTAAGCCTAAGCCTAAGCCTAAGCCTAAGCCTAAGCCTAAGCCTAAGCCTAAGCCTAAGCCTAAGCCTAAGCCTAAGCCTAAGCCTAAGCCTAAGCCTAAGCCTAAGCCTAAGCCTAAGCCTAAGCCTAAGCCTAAGCCTAAGCCTAAGCCTAAGCTAAGCTAAGCCTAAGCCTAAGCCTAAGCCTAAGCCTAAGCCTAAGCCTAAGCCTAAGCCTAAGCCTAAGCCTAAGCCTAAGCCTAAGCCTAAGCCTAAGCCTAAGCCTAAGCCTAAGCCTAAGCCTAAGCCTAAGCCTAAGCCTAAGCCTAAGCCTAAGCCTAAGCCTAAGCCTAAGCCTAAGCCTAAGCCTAAGCCTAAGCCTAAGCCTAAGCCTAAGCCTAAGCCTAAGCCTAAGCCTAAGCCTAAGCCTAAGCCTAAGCCTAAGCCTAAGCCTAAGCCTAAGCCTAAGCCTAAGCCTAAGCCTAAGCCTAAGCCTAAGCCTAAGCCTAAGCCTAAGCCTAAGCCTAAGCCTAAGCCTAAGCCTAAGCCTAAGCCTAAGCCTAAGCCTAAGCCTAAGCCTAAGCCTAAGCCTAAGCCTAAGCCTAAGCCTAAGCCTAAGCCTAAGCCTAAGCCTAAGCCTAAGCCTAAGCCTAAGCCTAAGCCTAAGCCTAAGCCTAAGCCTAAGCCTAAGCCTAAGCCTAAGCCTAAGCCTAAGCCTAAGCCTAAGCCTAAGCCTAAGCCTAAGCCTAAGCCTAAGCCTAAGCCTAAGCCTAAGCCTAAGCCTAAGCCTAAGCCTAAGCCTAAGCCTAAGCCTAAGCCTAAGCCTAAGCCTAAGCCTAAGCCTAAGCCTAAGCCTAAGCCTAAGCCTAAGCCTAAGCCTAAGCCTAAGCCTAAGCCTAAGCCTAAGCCTAAGCCTAAGCCTAAGCCTAAGCCTAAGCCTAAGCCTAAGCCTAAGCCTAAGCCTAAGCCTAAGCCTAAGCCTAAGCCTAAGCCTAAGCCTAAGCCTAAGCCTAAGCCTAAGCCTAAGCCTAAGCCTAAGCCTAAGCCTAAGCCTAAGCCTAAGCTAAGCCTAAGCCTAAGCCTAAGCCTAAGCCTAAGCCTAAGCCTAAGCCTAAGCCTAAGCCTAAGCCTAAGCCTAAGCCTAAGCCTAAGCCTAAGCCTAAGCTAAGCCTAAGCCTAAGCCTAAGCCTAAGCCTAAGCCTAAGCCTAAGCCTAAGCCTAAGCCTAAGCCTAAGCCTAAGCCTAAGCCTAAGCCTAAGCCTAAGCCTAAGCCTAAGCCTAAGCCTAAGCCTAAGCCTAAGCCTAAGCCTAAGCCTAAGCCTAAGCCTAAGCCTAAGCCTAAGCCTAAGCCTAAGCCTAAGCCTAAGCCTAAGCCTAAGCCTAAGCCTAAGCCTAAGCCTAAGCCTAAGCCTAAGCCTAAGCCTAAGCCTAAGCCTAAGCCTAAGCCTAAGCCTAAGCCTAAGCCTAAGCCTAAGCCTAAGCCTAAGCCTAAGCCTAAGCCTAAGCCTAAGCCTAAGCCTAAGCCTAAGCCTAAGCCTAAGCCTAAGCCTAAGCCTAAGCCTAAGCCTAAGCCTAAGCCTAAGCCTAAGCCTAAGCCTAAGCCTAAGCCTAAGCCTAAGCCTAAGCCTAAGCCTAAGCCTAAGCCTAAGCCTAAGCCTAAGCCTAAGCCTAAGCCTAAGCCTAAGCCTAAGCCTAGCCTAAGCCTAAGCCTAAGCCTAAGCCTAAGCCTAAGCCTAAGCCTAAGCCTAAGCCTAAGCCTAAGCCTAAGCCTAAGCCTAAGCCTAAGCCTAAGCCTAAGCCTAAGCCTAAGCCTAAGCCTAAGCCTAAGCCTAAGCCTAAGCCTAAGCCTAAGCCTAAGCCTAAGCCTAAGCCTAAGCCTAAGCCTAAGCCTAAGCCTAAGCCTAAGCCTAAGCCTAAGCCTAAGCCTAAGCCTAAGCCTAAGCCTAAGCCTAAGCCTAAGCCTAAGCCTAAGCCTAAGCCTAAGCCTAAGCCTAAGCCTAAGCCTAAGCCTAAGCCTAAGCCTAAGCCTAAGCCTAAGCCTAAGCCTAAGCCTAAGCCTAAGCCTAAGCTAAGCCTAAGCCTAAGCCTAAGCCTAAGCCTAAGCCTAAGCCTAAGCCTAAGCCTAAGCCTAAGCCTAAGCCTAAGCCTAAGCCTAAGCCTAAGCCTAAGCCTAAGCCTAAGCCTAAGCCTAAGCCTAAGCCTAAGCCTAAGCCTAAGCCTAAGCCTAAGCCTAAGCCTAAGCTAAGCCTAAGCCTAAGCCTAAGCCTAAGCCTAAGCCTAAGCCTAAGCCTAAGCCTAAGCCTAAGCCTAAGCCTAAGCCTAAGCCTAAGCCTAAGCCTAAGCCTAAGCCTAAGCCTAAGCCTAAGCCTAAGCCTAAGCCTAAGCCTAAGCCTAAGCCTAAGCCTAAGCCTAAGCCTAAGCCTAAGCCTAAGCCTAAGCCTAAGCCTAAGCTAAGCCTAAGCCTAAGCCTAAGCCTAAGCCTAAGCCTAAGCCTAAGCCTAAGCCTAAGCCTAAGCCTAAGCCTAAGCCTAAGCCTAAGCCTAAGCCTAAGCCTAAGCCTAAGCCTAAGCCTAAGCCTAAGCCTAAGCCTAAGCCTAAGCCTAAGCCTAAGCCTAAAGCCTAAGCCTAAGCCTAAGCCTAAGCCTAAGCCTAAGCCCTAAGCCTAAGCCTAAGCCTAAGCCTAAGCCTAAGCCTAAGCCTAAGCCTAAGCCCTAAGCCTAAGCCTAAGCCTAAGCCTAAGCCTAAGCCTAAGCCTAAGCTTAAGCCTAAGCCTAAGCCTAAGCCTAAGCCTAAGCCTAAGCCTAAGCCTAAGCCTAAGCCTAAGCCTAAGCCTAAGCCTAAGCCTAAGCCTAAGCCTAAGCCTAAGCCTAAGCCTAAGCCTAAGCCTAAGCCTAAGCCTAAGCCTAAGCCTAAGCCTAAGCCTAAGCCTAAGCCTAAGCCTAAGCCTAAGCCTAAAAGCCTAAGCCTAAGCCTAAGCCTAAGCCTAAGCCTAAGCCTAAGCCTAAGCCTAAGCCTAAGCCTAAGCCTAAGCCTAAGCCTAAGCCTTAAGCCTAAGCCTAAGCCTAAGCCTAAGCCTAAGCCTAAGCCTAAGCCTAAGCCTAAGCCTAAGCCTAAGCCTAAGCCTAAGCCTAAGCCTAAGCCTAAGTAACCCTAAGCCTAAGCCTAAGCCTAAGCCTAAGCCTAAGCCTAAGCTAAGCCTAAGCCTAAGCCTAAGCCTAAGCCTAAGCCTAAGCCTAAGCCTAAGCCTAAGCCTAAAGCCTAAGCCTAAGCCTAAGCCTAAGCCTAAGCCTAAGCCTAAGCCTAAGCCTAAGCCTAAGCCTAAGCCTAAGCCTAAGCCTAAGCCTAAGCCTAAGCCTAAGCCTAAGCCTAAGCCTAAGCCTAAGCCTAAGCCTAAGCCTAAGCCTAGCCTAAGCCTAAGCCTAAGCCTAAGCCTAAGCCTAAGCCTAAGCCTAAGCCTAAGCCTAAGCCTAAGCCTAAGCCTAAGCTAAGCCTAAGCCTAAGCCTAAGCCTAAGCCTAAGCCTAAGCCTAAGCCTAAGCCTAAGCCTAAGCCTAAGCCTAAGCCTAAGCCTAAGCCTAAGCCTAAGCCTAAGCCAAGCCTAAGCCTAAGCCTAAGCCTAAGCCTAAGCCTAAGCCTAAGCCTAAGCCTAAGCCTAAGCCTAAGCCTAAGCCTAAGCCTAAGCCTAAGCCTAAGCCTAAGCCTAAGCCTAAGCCTAAGCCTAAGCCTAAGCCTAAGCCTAAGCCTAAGCCTAAGCCTAAGCCTAAGCCTAAGCCTAAGCCTAAGCCTAAGCCTAAGCCCTAAGCCTAAGCCTAAGCCTAAGCCTAAGCCTAAGCCTAAGCCTAAGCCTAAGCCTAAGCCTAAGCCTAAGCCTAAGCCTAAGCCTAAGCCTAAAGCCTAAGCCTAAGCCTAAGCCTAAGCCTAAGCTAGCCTAAGCCTAAGCCTAAGCCTAAGCCTAAGCCTAAGCCTAAGCCTAAGCCTAAGCCTAAGCCTAAGCCTAAGCCTAAGCCTAAGCCTAAGCCTAAGCCTAAGCCTAAGCCTAAGCCTAAGCCTAAGCCTAAGCCTAAGCCTAAGCCTAAGCCTAAGCCTAAGCCTAAGCCTAAGCCAAAGCCTAAGCCTAAGCCTAAGCCTAAGCCTAAGCCTAAGCCTAAGCCTAAGCCTAAGCCCAAGCCTAAGCCTAAGCCTAAGCCTAAGCCTAAGCCTAAGCCTAAGCCTAAGCCTTAAGCCTAAGCCTAAGCCTAAGCCTAAGCCTAAGCCTAAGCTAAGCCTAAGCCTAAGCCTAAGCTAAGCCTAAGCCTAAGCCTAAGCCTAAGCCTAAGCCTAAGCCTAAGCCTAAGCCTAAGCCTAAGCCTAAGCCTAAGCCTAAGCCTAAGCCTAAGCCTAAGCCCTAAAGCCTAAGCCTAAGCCTAAGCCTAAGCCTAAGCCTAAGCCTAAGCCTAAGCCTAAGCCTAAGCCTAAAGCCTAAGCCTAAGCCTAAGCCTAAGCCTAAGCCTAAGCCTAAGCCTAAGCCTAAGCCTAAGCCTAAGCCTAAGCCTAAGCCTAAGCCTAAGCCTAAGCCTAAGCCTAAGCCTAAGCCTAAGCCTAAGCCTAAGCCTAAGCCTAAGCCTAAGCCTAAGCCTAACCCTAAGCCTAAGCCTAAGCCTAAGCCTAAGCCTAAGCCTAAGCCTAAGCCTAAGCCTAAGCCTAAGCCTAAGCCTAAGCCTAAGCCTAAGCCTAAGCCTAAGCCTAAGCCTAAGCCTAAGCCTAAGCCTAAGCCTAAGCCTAAGCCTAAGCCTAAGCCTAAGCCTAAGCCTAAGCCTAAGCCTAAGCCTAAGCCTAAGCCTAAGCCTAAGCCTAAGCCTAAGCCTAAGCCTAAGCCTAAGCCTAAGCCTAAGCCTAAGCCTAAGCCTAAGCCTAAGCTAAGCCTAAGCCTAAGCCTAAGCCTAAGCCTAAGCCTAAGCCTAAGCCTAAGCCTAAGCCTAAGCCTAAGCCTAAGCCTAAGCCTAAGCCTAAGCCTAAGCCTAAGCCTAAGCCTAAGCTAAGCCTAAGCCTAAGCCTAAGCAGCCTAAGCCTAAGCCTAAGCCTAAGCCTAAGCCTAAGCCTAAGCCTAAGCTAAGCCTAAGCCTAAGCCTAAGCCTAAGCCTAAGCCTAAGCCTAAGCCTAAGCCTAAGCCTAAGCCTAAGCCTAAGCCTAAGCCTAAGCCAAAGCCTAAGCCTAAGCCTAAGCTAAGCCTAAGCCTAAGCCTAAGCCTAAGCCTAAGCCTAAGCCTAAGCCTAAGCCTAAGCCTAAGCCTAAGCCTAAGCCTAAGCCTAAAGCCTAAGCCTAAGCCTAAGCCTAAGCCTAAGCCTAAGCCTAAGCCTAAGCCTAAGCCTAAGCCTAAGCCTAAGCCTAAGCTAAGCCTAAGCTAAGCCTAAGCCTAAGCCTAAGCCTAAGCCTAAGCCTAAGCCTAAGCCTAAGCCTAAGCCTAAGCCTAAGCCTAAGCCTAGGCCTAAGCCTAAGCCTAAGCCTAAGCCTAAGCCTAAGCCTAAGCCTAAGCCTAAGCCTAAGCCTAAGCCTAAGCCTAAGCCTAAGCCTAAGCCTAAGCCTAAGCCTAAGCCTAAGCCTAAGCCTAAGCCTAAGCCTAAGCCTAAGCCTAAGCCTAAGCCTAAGCCTAAGCCTAAGCCTAAGCCTAAGCCTAAGCCTAAGCCTAAGCCTAAGCCTAAGCCTAAGCCTAAGCCTAAGCCTAAGCCTAAGCCTAAGCCTAAGCCTAAGCCTAAGCCTAAGCCTAAGCCTAAGCCTAAGCCTAAGCCTAAGCCTAAGCCTAAGCCTAAGCCTAAGCCTAAGCCTAAGCCTAAGCCTAAGCCTAAGCCTAAGCCTAAGCCTAAGCCTAAGCCTAAGCCTAAGCCTAAGCCTAAGCCTAAGCCTAAGCCTAAGCCTAAGCCTAAGCCTAAGCCTAAGCCTAAGCCTAAGCCTAAGCCTAAGCCTAAGCCTAAGCCTAAGCCTAAGCCTAAGCCTAAAGCCTAAGCCTAAGCCTAAGCCTAAGCCTAAACCTAAGCCTAAGCCTAAGCCTAAGCCTAAGCCTAAGCCTAAGCCTAAGCCTAAGCCTAAGCCTAAGCCTAAGCCTAAGCCTAAGCCTAAGCCTAAGCCTAAGCCTAAGCCTAAGCCTAAGCCTAAGCCTAAGCCTAAGCCTAAGCCTAAGCCTAAGCCTAAGCCTAAGCCTAAGCCTAAGCCTAAGCCTAAGCCTAAGCCTAAGCCTAAGCCTAAGCCTAAGCCTAAGCCTAAGCCTAAGCCTAAGCCTAAGCCTAAGCCTAAGCCTAAGCCTAAGCCTAAGCCTAAGCCTAAGCCTAAGCCTAAGCCTAAGCCTAAGCCTAAGCCTAAGCCTAAGCCTAAGCCTAAGCCTAAGCCTAAGCCTAAGCCTAAGCCTAAGCCTAAGCCTAAGCCTAAGCCTAAGCCTAAGCCTAAGCCTAAGCCTAAGCCTAAGCCTAAGCCTAAGCCTAAGCCTAAGCCTAAGCCTAAGCCTAAGCCTAAGCCTAAGCCTAAGCCTAAGCCTAAGCCTAAGCCTAAGCCTAAGCCTAAGCCTAAGCCTAAGCCTAAGCCTAAGCCTAAGCCTAAGCCTAAGCCTAAGCCTAAGCCTAAGCCTAAGCCTAAGCCTAAGCCTAAGCCTAAGCCTAAGCCTAAGCCTAAGCCTAAGCCTAAGCCTAAGCCTAAGCCTAAGCTAAGCCTAAGCCTAAGCCTAAGCCTAAGCCTAAGCCTAAGCCTAAGCCTAAGCCTAAGCCTAAGCCTAAGCCTAAGCCTAAGCCTAAGCCTAAGCCTAAGCCTAAGCCTAAGCCTAAGCCTAAGCCTAAGCCTAAGCCTAAGCCTAAGCCTAAGCCTAAGCCTAAGCCTAAGCCTAAGCCTAAGCCTAAGCCTAAGCCTAAGCCTAAGCCTAAGCCTAAGCCTAAGCCTAAGCCTAAGCCTAAGCCTAAGCCTAAGCCTAAGCCTAAGCCTAAGCCTAAGCCTAAGCCTAAGCCTAAGCCTAAGCCTAAGCCTAAGCCTAAGCCTAAGCCTAAGCCTAAGCCTAAGCCTAAGCCTAAGCCTAAGCCTAAGCCTAAGCCTAAGCCTAAGCCTAAGCCTAAGCCTAAGCCTAAGCCTAAGCCTAAGCCTAAGCCTAAGCCTAAGCCTAAGCCTAAGCCTAAGCCTAAGCCTAAGCCTAAGCCTAAGCCTAAGCCTAAGCCTAAGCCTAAGCCTAAGCTAAGCCTAAGCCTAAGCCTAAGCCTAAGCCTAAGCCTAAGCCTAAGCCTAAGCCTAAGCCTAAGCCTAAGCCTAAGCCTAAGCCTAAGCCTAAGCCTAAGCCTAAGCCTAAGCCTAAGCCTAAGCCTAAGCCTAAGCCTAAGCCTAAGCCTAAGCCTAAGCCTAAGCCTAAGCCTAAGCCTAAGCCTAAGCCTAAGCCTAAGCCTAAGCCTAAGCCTAAGCCTAAGCCTAAGCCTAAGCCTAAGCCTAAGCCTAAGCCTAAGCCTAAGCCTAAGCTAAGCCTAAGCCTAAGCCTAAGCCTAAGCCTAAGCCTAAGCCTAAGCCTAAGCCTAAGCCTAAGCCTAAGCCTAAGCCTAAGCCTAAGCCTAAGCCTAAGCCTAAGCCTAAGCCTAAGCCTAAGCCTAAGCCTAAGCCTAAGCCTAAGCCTAAGCCTAAGCCTAAGCCTAAGCCTAAGCCTAAGCCTAAGCCTAAGCCTAAGCCTAAGCCTAAGCCTAAGCCTAAGCCTAAGCCTAAGCCTAAGCCTAAGCCTAAGCCTAAGCCTAAGCCTAAGCCTAAGCCTAAGCCTAAGCCTAAGCCTAAGCCTAAGCCTAAGCCTAAGCCTAAGCCTAAGCCTAAGCCTAAGCCTAAGCCTAAGCCTAAGCCTAAGCCTAAGCCTAAGCCTAAGCCTAAGCCTAAGCCTAAGCCTAAGCCTAAGCCTAAGCCTAAGCCTAAGCCTAAGCCTAAGCCTAAGCCTAAGCCTAAGCCTAAGCCTAAGCCTAAGCCTAAGCCTAAGCCTAAGCCTAAGCCTAAGCCTAAGCCTAAGCCTAAGCCTAAGCCTAAGCCTAAGCCTAAGCCTAAGCCTAAGCCTAAGCCTAAGCCTAAGCCTAAGCCTAAGCCTAAGCCTAAGCCTAAGCCTAAGCCTAAGCCTAAGCCTAAGCCTAAGCCTAAGCCTAAGCCTAAGCCTAAGCCTAAGCCTAAGCCTAAGCCTAAGCCTAAGCCTAAGCCTAAGCCTAAGCCTAAGCCTAAGCCTAAGCCTAAGCTAAGCCTAAGCCTAAGCCTAAGCCTAAGCCTAAGCCTAAGCCTAAGCCTAAGCCTAAGCCTAAGCCTAAGCCTAAGCCTAAGCCTAAGCCTAAGCCTAAGCCTAAGCCTAAGCCTAAGCCTAAGCCTAAGCCTAAGCCTAAGCCTAAGCCTAAGCCTAAGCCTAAGCCTAAGCCTAAGCCTAAGCCTAAGCCTAAGCCTAAGCCTAAGCCTAAGCCTAAGCCTAAGCCTAAGCCTAAGCCTAAGCCTAAGCCTAAGCCTAAGCCTAAGCCTAAGCCTAAGCCTAAGCCTAAGCCTAAGCCTAAGCCTAAGCCTAAGCCTAAGCCTAAGCCTAAGCCTAAGCCTAAGCCTAAGCCTAAGCCTAAGCCTAAGCCTAAGCCTAAGCCTAAGCCTAAGCCTAAGCCTAAGCCTAAGCCTAAGCCTAAGCCTAAGCCTAAGCCTAAGCCTAAGCCTAAGCCTAAGCCTAAGCCTAAGCCTAAGCCTAAGCCTAAGCCTAAGCCTAAGCCTAAGCCTAAGCCTAAGCCTAAGCCTAAGCCTAAGCCTAAGCCTAAGCCTAAGCCTAAGCCTAAGCCTAAGCCTAAGCCTAAGCCTAAGCCTAAGCCTAAGCCTAAGCCTAAGCCTAAGCCTAAGCCTAAGCCTAAGCCTAAGCCTAAGCCTAAGCCTAAGCCTAAGCCTAAGCCTAAGCCTAAGCCTAAGCCTAAGCCTAAGCCTAAGCCTAAGCCTAAGCCTAAGCCTAAGCCTAAGCCTAAGCCTAAGCCTAAGCCTAAGCCTAAGCCTAAGCCTAAGCCTAAGCCTAAGCCTAAGCCTAAGCCTAAGCCTAAGCCTAAGCCTAAGCCTAAGCCTAAGCCTAAGCCTAAGCCTAAGCCTAAGCCTAAGCCTAAGCCTAAGCCTAAGCCTAAGCCTAAGCCTAAGCCTAAGCCTAAGCCTAAGCCTAAGCCTAAGCCTAAGCCTAAGCCTAAGCCTAAGCCTAAGCCTAAGCCTAAGCCTAAGCCTAAGCCTAAGCCTAAGCCTAAGCCTAAGCCTAAGCCTAAGCCTAAGCCTAAGCCTAAGCCTAAGCCTAAGCCTAAGCCTAAGCCTAAGCCTAAGCCTAAGCCTAAGCCTAAGCCTAAGCCTAAGCCTAAGCCTAAGCCTAAGCCTAAGCCTAAGCCTAAGCCTAAGCCTAAGCCTAAGCCTAAGCCTAAGCCTAAGCCTAAGCCTAAGCCTAAGCCTAAGCCTAAGCCTAAGCCTAAGCTAAGCCTAAGCCTAAGCCTAAGCCTAAGCCTAAGCCTAAGCCTAAGCCTAAGCCTAAGCCTAAGCCTAAGCCTAAGCCTAAGCCTAAGCCTAAGCCTAAGCCTAAGCCTAAGCCTAAGCCTAAGCCTAAGCCTAAGCCTAAGCCTAAGCCTAAGCCTAAGCCTAAGCCTAAGCCTAAGCCTAAGCCTAAGCCTAAGCCTAAGCCTAAGCCTAAGCCTAAGCCTAAGCCTAAGCCTAAGCCTAAGCCTAAGCCTAAGCCTAAGCCTAAGCCTAAGCCTAAGCCTAAGCCTAAGCCTAAGCCTAAGCCTAAGCCTAAGCCTAAGCCTAAGCCTAAGCCTAAGCCTAAGCCTAAGCTAAGCCTAAGCCTAAGCCTAAGCCTAAGCCTAAGCCTAAGCCTAAGCCTAAGCCTAAGCCTAAGCCTAAGCCTAAGCCTAAGCCTAAGCCTAAGCCTAAGCCTAAGCCTAAGCCTAAGCCTAAGCCTAAGCCTAAGCCTAAGCCTAAGCCTAAGCCTAAGCCTAAGCCTAAGCCTAAGCCTAAGCCTAAGCCTAAGCCTAAGCCTAAGCCTAAGCCTAAGCTAAGCCTAAGCCTAAGCCTAAGCCTAAGCCTAAGCCTAAGCCTAAGCCTAAGCCTAAGCCTAAGCCTAAGCCTAAGCCTAAGCCTAAGCCTAAGCCTAAAGCCTAAGCCTAAGCCTAAGCCTAAGCCTAAGCCTAAGCCTAAGCCTAAGCCTAAGCCTAAGCCTAAGCCTAAGCCTAAGCCTAAGCCTAAGCCTAAGCCTAAGCCTAAGCCTAAGCCTAAGCCTAAGCCTAAGCCTAAGCCTAAGCCTAAGCCTAAGCCTAAGCCTAAGCCTAAGCCTAAGCCTAAGCCTAAGCCTAAGCCTAAGCCTAAGCCTAAGCCTAAGCCTAAGCCTAAGCCTAAGCCTAAGCCTAAGCCTAAGCCTAAGCCTAAGCCTAAGCCTAAGCTAAGCCTAAGCCTAAGCCTAAGCCTAAGCCTAAGCCTAAGCCTAAGCCTAAGCCTAAGCCTAAGCCTAAGCCTAAGCCTAAGCCTAAGCTAAGCCTAAGCCTAAGCCTAAGCCTAAGCCTAAGCCTAAGCCTAAGCCTAAGCCTAAGCCTAAGCCTAAGCCTAAGCCTAAGCCTAAGCCTAAGCTAAGCCTAAGCCTAAGCCTAAGCCTAAGCCTAAGCCTAAGCCTAAGCCTAAGCCTAAGCCTAAGCCTAAGCCTAAGCCTAAGCCTAAGCCTAAGCCTAAGCCTAAGCCTAAGCCTAAGCCTAAGCCTAAGCCTAAGCCTAAGCCTAAGCCTAAGCCTAAGCCTAAGCCTAAGCCTAAGCCTAAGCCTAAGCCTAAGCCTAAGCCTAAGCCTAAGCCTAAGCCTAAGCCTAAGCCTAAGCCTAAGCCTAAGCCTAAGCCTAAGCCTAAGCCTAAGCCTAAGCCTAAGCCTAAGCCTAAGCCTAAGCCTAAGCCTAAGCCTAAGCCTAAGCCTAAGCCTAAGCCTAAGCCTAAGCCTAAGCCTAAGCCTAAGCCTAAGCCTAAGCCTAAGCCTAAGCCTAAGCCTAAGCCTAAGCCTAAGGCCTAAGCCTAAGCCTAAGCCTAAGCCTAAGCCTAAGCCTAAGCCTAAGCCTAAGCCTAAGAGCCTAAGCCTAAGCCTAAGCCTAAGCCTAAGCCTAAGCCTAAGCCTAAGCCTAAGCCTAAGCCTAAGCCTAAGCCTAAGCCTAAGCCTAAGCCTAAGCCTAAGCCTAAGCCTAAGCCCTAAGCCTAAGCCTAAGCCTAAGCCTAAGCCTAAGCCTAAGCCTAAGCCTAAGCCTAAGCCTAAGCCTAAGCCTAAGCCTAAGCCTAAGCCTAAGCCTAAGCCTAAGCCTAAGCCTAAGCCTAAGCCTAAGCCTAAGCCTAAGCCTAAGCCTAAGCCTAAGCCTAAGCCTAAGCCTAAGCCTAAGCCTAAGCCTAAGCCTAAGCCTAAGCCTAAGCCTAAGCCTAAGCCTAAGCCTAAGCCTAAGCCTAAGCCTAAGCCTAAGCCTAAGCCTAAGCCTAAGCCTAAGCCTAAGCCTAAGCCTAAGCCTAAGCCTAAGCCTAAGCCTAAGCCTAAGCCTAAGCTAAGCCTAAGCCTAAGCCTAAGCCTAAGCCTAAGCCTAAGCCTAAGCCTAAGCCTAAGCCTAAGCCTAAGCCTAAGCCTAAGCCTAAGCCTAAGCCTAAGCCTAAGCCTAAGCCTAAGCCTAAGCCTAAGCTAAGCCTAAGCCTAAGCCTAAGCCTAAGCCTAAGCCTAAGCCTAAGCCTAAGCCTAAGCCTAAGCCTAAGCCTAAGCCTAAGCCTAAGCCTAAGCCTAAGCCTAAGCCTAAGCCTAAGCCTAAGCCTAAGCCTAAGGCCTAAGCCTAAGCCTAAGCCTAAGCCTAAGCCTAAGCCTAAGCCTAAGCCTAAGCCTAAGCCTAAGCCTAAGCCTAAGCCTAAGCCTAAGCCTAAGCCTAAGCCTAAGCCTAAGCCTAAGCCTAAGCCTAAGCCTAAGCCTAAGCCTAAGCCTAAGCCTAAGCCTAAGCCTAAGCCTAAGCCTAAGCCTAAGCCTAAGCCTAAGCCTAAGCCTAAGCCTAAGCCTAAGCCTAAGCCTAAGCCTAAGCCTAAGCCTAAGCCTAAGCCTAAGCCTAAGCCTAAGCCTAAGCCTAAGCCTAAGCCTAAGCCTAAGCCTAAGCCTAAGCCTAAGCCTAAGCCTAAGCCTAAGCCTAAGCCTAAGCCTAAGCCTAAGCCTAAGCCTAAGCCTAAGCCTAAGCCTAAGCCTAAGCCTAAGCCTAAGCCTAAGCCTAAGCCTAAGCCTAAGCCTAAGCCTAAGCCTAAGCCTAAGCCTAAGCCTAAGCCTAAGCCTAAGCCTAAGCCTAAGCCTAAGCCTAAGCCTAAGCTAAGCCTAAGCCTAAGCCTAAGCCTAAGCCTAAGCCTAAGCCTAAGCCTAAGCTAAGCCTAAGCCTAAGCTAAGCCTAAGCCTAAGCCTAAGCCTAAGCCTAAGCCTAAGCCTAAGCCTAAGCCTAAGCCTAAGCCTAAGCCTAAGCCTAAGCCTAAGCCTAAGCCTAAGCCTAAGCCTAAGCCTAAGCCTAAGCCTAAGCCTAAGCCTAAGCCTAAGCCTAAGCCTAAGCCTAAGCCTAAGCCTAAGCCTAAGCCTAAGCCTAAGCCTAAGCCTAAGCCTAAGCCTAAGCCTAAGCCTAACAAATTATTGAATTTTCATAAAATTTGATATTTAGATTTGAAATAAAAATTAATTTCAATTGTAAGAATGAGTTAGAACAGTGGCAAGTTAAAAATTTAAATAATTTTGCAAATTAAACATTGTTTAAAACCTAATTTTGAATGATTATTTAATTATTTATGCCGATCAAATGACCAGTCGTAAATAACCAGTACCTATGCAATGCATATAAATTGATCAATTAAGCTCGAAATATCTGACTTTTTTTAATGAATATATATTTTTTTAACAGTTTTAACATTTAATTAAAGCAAAATTTGATATTACTAGAAATTATTTCGTAGTCTAATATACAAAAAAGGCTTTGATTCATTGCAAATCATAAAATTTTCATAAAATTCGATCTTAAAATTTCAAACAAAAACTAATTTTAGCTGCAGAAATGAATTAAATCTACGACAAATTAAAAATCTTATTAATTTCACCTCTCAAATATTAAAAAAAAAACTTAGTTATTAAAGTTTATTCTCTTATTACGTATGCAACGCATAAAATTAAATAACTAAGTTCAAAATAACTAATTTTTTTAACGAATTGATATTTTTTAATAGTTTTAACATTTAATTAAAATCAAAATTGAGAAAACTAGAAATTATTTTCCCGTATAATATACAAAAACTCTTGGAAATTATAAAATTTTCACCAAAATCAAATTTTAGATTTGAAATAATGCTTAAGCCTAAGCCTAAGTACACCCTAAGCCTAAGCCTAAGCATTTTTGTATTATTTAAAATGTCAAATGACCACGATGTATGTGACCAATACTATTCAACGCTTATAAATTAATTAAGTTCAAAATGATCTATTTTTTTAATGATTTGATATTTCTTAATTTTTTAACATTTAATTAAATTTCTAAAATTTAATTAATATTTAAAGTTTATTTTATTATTATTGCTGGTCAAATGTCCACGATTTGTGTTACCGGTACCTATGCAACGCATAAAATTCAATCAATTAATTCAATTCAACTTCTTATCAATAACTTTCTGTATAAATTAATTAAATTTAAATTATGAGAATTTTTTAGTTACACTTGACATACAATTAGTTTTTCCATTGAATCAATCACACAATGTATTTAATATTGCATTTTTTTTTTTTAATTTTATTATTTTTTGAAAAATAATTGCAACATTCTATCCTAATTTCCATTTCATAATTTGTATTTATACCAATTTAATTCTAATTTAATTAATGAAGTATTAGTATTCTTTGAATTATTTCCATAGTTTATTATTTTGTATTAATTTTTCTGTTTCTGTTTCTCTTTTTATTTGATATAGCAATATTAATAAATTTCACAAAATTTCAACTTAAAATATTGCAATTAAACTTTGTTAAGTCAAAAAAATAAATAAAGTAATAGCTGAATAACATAAATCTTTCGAATTTTGGTTTTTTTTATTAAATGATTTTTTTTAATACTTTTAATATCATTTGAAATTAAATTTTGAGAATAGTAGGACTTCTTACCCAGTTTAGTATGCAAATACCCGTACAAATTATGGGATTTTTATAAATGTGTTATTTAAATTCGAAATATAAATTAATTTTAATTGTAAGAATGAATTAAAATCGTGAAAAATTAAAAATTTAAATAATTTCTAAACTTGATTTTATTATTTTTGCTGGTCAAATGACCACTATGTATGCGACCAGTACCTATGCAATGCACACAAATTAATCAATTAAGTTCAAAATATCCATTTTTTTTTTTTTAATTAATTAAAATTTTTCAAAATTTTAACATTTATTTAAAACTAGCTTTTGATATTTACCACAATTTATTTTGTAGATTAATATGCAAAATTCTAGTAAATTAATGAATTTTCATAAAATTTGACACTTAAATTTGAAATAAAAATTAACTTCAATTGTAAGAATGAATTAAAACCCTGATAAATTAAAAATTTAATCAATCCCGCTAGTCGAATATTGATTGAAACTTAATTATTAAAGTTTATTTAGTTATTTATGCTGATCAAATGAGCAACCGTAGATGACCAGTACCTATGCAATGCATATAAATTGATCAATTATGCTCGAAATATCTAACTTTTTTTAATGAATATATATTTTTTTTAACAGTTTTAACATTTAATTAAAGTAAAATTTGATATTGCTAGAATTTATTTTATAGTTTAATATACAAAACCCTAACAAATTATTGAATATTCATAAAATTTGATATTTAGATTTGAAGTAAAAATTAATTTCAATTGTAAGAATGAGTTAGAACAGTGGCAAGTTAAAAATTTAAATAATTTTGCAAATTAAACATTGTTTAAAACCTAATTTTGAATGATTATTTAATTATTTATGCCGATCAAATGACCAGTCGTAAATAACCAGTACCTATGCAATGCATATAAATTGATCAATTAAGTTCAAATTATCTAATTTTTTTTTATGAATTGATATTCTAACATTTAATTAAATTAAATTTTGACAATTTATTTTATAGTTTATTTTATAGTTTAGTAGTTTTATATTTATTTTATAGTTTAGTTTTATATTTATTTTATAGTTTAGTATACAAAAACCTAACAAATTATTGAATTTTCATAAAATTTGATATTTAGATTTGAAATAAAAATTAATTTCAATTGTAAGAATGAATTAGAACAGTGGCAAGTTAAAAATTTAAATAATTTTGCAAATAATACATTGTTTAAAGCATAATTTTGAATGATTATTTTATTATTTATGCTGACCAAATGACCAGTATCCATGAAATGAATAAAAAATAATCAATTAAGTTCCAACTATCTAATTTTTTTTTTTATGAATTGATATTTTTCAATATTCTAACATTTAATTAAATTAAATTTTGACAATTTCGGCATTTATTTTATAGTTTAATATACAAAACCCTAACATTTCCCAGTTTATTACGCAAAAAACCTTACAAATTATAGGATTTTCACAAAAATCAATTTTAAATTTGAATTGAAAATTAGCATTAATTGTAAAAATGAGTTAGTTCTATGACTAATTAAAAATTTTATTATTTTAACAAGTGAAATTTCAATCAAAACTTTAAACTTCAATTATTTATGCTGACCAAATGACCAACCGTAAATGACCAGTATCCATGAAATGAATAAAAATTAATCAATTAAGTTCAAATTATCTAATTTTTTTTTAATGAATTGATATTTTTCAATATTCTAACATTTAATTAAATTAAATTTTGACAATTCCGGCATTTATTTTGTAGTTTAGTATACAAAACCCTAACAAATTATTGAATTTTCATAAAATTTGATATTTAGATTTGAAATAAAAATTAATTTCAATTGTAAGAATGAGTTAGAACAGTGGCAAGTTAAAAATTTAAATAATTTTGCAAATTAAACATTGTTTAAAACCTAATTTTGAATGATTATTTAATTATTTATGCCGATCAAATGACCAGTCGTAAATAACCAGTACCTATGCAATGCATATAAATTGATCAATTAAGCTCGAAATATCTGACTTTTTTTAATGAATATATATTTTTTAACAGTTTTAACATTTAATTAAAGCAAAATTTGATATTACTAGAAATTATTTCGTAGTCTAATATACAAAAAAGGCTTTGATTCATTGCAAATCATAAAATTTTCATAAAATTCGATCTTAAAATTTCAAACAAAAACTAATTTTAGCTGCAGAAATGAATTAAATCTACGACAAATTAAAAATCTTATTAATTTCACCTCTCAAATATTAAAAAAAAAACTTAGTTATTAAAGTTTATTCTCTTATTACGTATGCAACGCATAAAATTAAATAACTAAGTTCAAAATAACTAATTTTTTTTAACGAATTGATATTTTTTAATAGTTTTAACATTTAATTAAAATCAAAATTGAGAAAACTAGAAATTATTTTCCCGTATAATATACAAAAACTCTTGGAAATTATAAAATTTTCACCAAAATCAAATTTTAGATTTGAAATAATGCTTAAGCCTAAGCCTAAGTACACCCTAAGCCTAAGCCTAAGCATTTTTGTATTATTTAAAATGTCAAATGACCACGATGTATGTGACCAATACTATTCAACGCTTATAAATTAATTAAGTTCAAAATGATCTATTTTTTTAATGATTTGATATTTCTTAATTTTTTAACATTTAATTAAATTTCTAAAATTTAATTAATATTTAAAGTTTATTTTATTATTATTGCTGGTCAAATGTCCACGATTTGTGTTACCGGTACCTATGCAACGCATAAAATTCAATCAATTAATTCAATTCAACTTCTTATCAATAACTTTCTGTATAAATTAATTAAATTTAAATTATGAGAATTTTTTAGTTACACTTGACATACAATTAGTTTTTCCATTGAATCAATCACACAATGTATTTAATATTGCATTTTTTTTTTTTAATTTTATTATTTTTTGAAAAATAATTGCAACATTCTATCCTAATTTCCATTTCATAATTTGTATTTATACCAATTTAATTCTAATTTAATTAATGAAGTATTAGTATTCTTTGAATTATTTCCATAGTTTATTATTTTGTATTAATTTTTCTGTTTCTGTTTCTCTTTTTATTTGATATAGCAATATTAATAAATTTCACAAAATTTCAACTTAAAATATTGCAATTAAACTTTGTTAAGTCAAAAAAATAAATAAAGTAATAGCTGAATAACATAAATCTTTCGAATTTTGGTTTTTTTTATTAAATGATTTTTTTTAATACTTTTAATATCATTTGAAATTAAATTTTGAGAATAGTAGGACTTCTTACCCAGTTTAGTATGCAAATACCCGTACAAATTATGGGATTTTTATAAATGTGTTATTTAAATTCGAAATATAAATTAATTTTAATTGTAAGAATGAATTAAAATCGTGAAAAATTAAAAATTTAAATAATTTCTAAACTTGATTTTATTATTTTTGCTGGTCAAATGACCACTATGTATGCGACCAGTACCTATGCAATGCACACAAATTAATCAATTAAGTTCAAAATATCCATTTTTTTTTTTTTAATTAATTAAAATTTTTCAAAATTTTAACATTTATTTAAAACTAGCTTTTGATATTTACCACAATTTATTTTGTAGATTAATATGCAAAATTCTAGTAAATTAATGAATTTTCATAAAATTTGACACTTAAATTTGAAATAAAAATTAACTTCAATTGTAAGAATGAATTAAAACCCTGATAAATTAAAAATTTAATCAATCCCGCTAGTCGAATATTGATTGAAACTTAATTATTAAAGTTTATTTAGTTATTTATGCTGATCAAATGAGCAACCGTAGATGACCAGTACCTATGCAATGCATATAAATTGATCAATTATGCTCGAAATATCTAACTTTTTTTAATGAATATATATTTTTTTTAACAGTTTTAACATTTAATTAAAGTAAAATTTGATATTGCTAGAATTTATTTTATAGTTTAATATACAAAACCCTAACAAATTATTGAATATTCATAAAATTTGATATTTAGATTTGAAGTAAAAATTAATTTCAATTGTAAGAATGAGTTAGAACAGTGGCAAGTTAAAAATTTAAATAATTTTGCAAATTAAACATTGTTTAAAACCTAATTTTGAATGATTATTTAATTATTTATGCCGATCAAATGACCAGTCGTAAATAACCAGTACCTATGCAATGCATATAAATTGATCAATTAAGTTCAAATTATCTAATTTTTTTTTATGAATTGATATTCTAACATTTAATTAAATTAAATTTTGACAATTTATTTTATAGTTTATTTTATAGTTTAGTAGTTTTATATTTATTTTATAGTTTAGTTTTATATTTATTTTATAGTTTAGTATACAAAAACCTAACAAATTATTGAATTTTCATAAAATTTGATATTTAGATTTGAAATAAAAATTAATTTCAATTGTAAGAATGAATTAGAACAGTGGCAAGTTAAAAATTTAAATAATTTTGCAAATAATACATTGTTTAAAGCATAATTTTGAATGATTATTTTATTATTTATGCTGACCAAATGACCAGTATCCATGAAATGAATAAAAAATAATCAATTAAGTTCCAACTATCTAATTTTTTTTTTTATGAATTGATATTTTTCAATATTCTAACATTTAATTAAATTAAATTTTGACAATTTCGGCATTTATTTTATAGTTTAATATACAAAACCCTAACATTTCCCAGTTTATTACGCAAAAAACCTTACAAATTATAGGATTTTCACAAAAATCAATTTTAAATTTGAATTGAAAATTAGCATTAATTGTAAAAATGAGTTAGTTCTATGACTAATTAAAAATTTTATTATTTTAACAAGTGAAATTTCAATCAAAACTTTAAACTTCAATTATTTATGCTGACCAAATGACCAACCGTAAATGACCAGTATCCATGAAATGAATAAAAATTAATCAATTAAGTTCAAATTATCTAATTTTTTTTTAATGAATTGATATTTTTCAATATTCTAACATTTAATTAAATTAAATTTTGACAATTCCGGCATTTATTTTGTAGTTTAGTATACAAAACCCTAACAAATTATTGAATTTTCATAAAATTTGATATTTAGATTTGAAATAAAAATTAATTTCAATTGTAAGAATGAGTTAGAACAGTGGCAAGTTAAAAATTTAAATAATTTTGCAAATTAAACATTGTTTAAAACCTAATTTTGAATGATTATTTAATTATTTATGCCGATCAAATGACCAGTCGTAAATAACCAGTACCTATGCAATGCATATAAATTGATCAATTAAGCTCGAAATATCTGACTTTTTTTAATGAATATATATTTTTTTAACAGTTTTAACATTTAATTAAAGCAAAATTTGATATTACTAGAAATTATTTCGTAGTCTAATATACAAAAAAGGCTTTGATTCATTGCAAATCATAAAATTTTCATAAAATTCGATCTTAAAATTTCAAACAAAAACTAATTTTAGCTGCAGAAATGAATTAAATCTACGACAAATTAAAAATCTTATTAATTTCACCTCTCAAATATTAAAAAAAAAACTTAGTTATTAAAGTTTATTCTCTTATTACGTATGCAACGCATAAAATTAAATAACTAAGTTCAAAATAACTAATTTTTTTTAACGAATTGATATTTTTTAATAGTTTTAACATTTAATTAAAATCAAAATTGAGAAAACTAGAAATTATTTTCCCGTATAATATACAAAAACTCTTGGAAATTATAAAATTTTCACCAAAATCAAATTTTAGATTTGAAATAATGCTTAAGCCTAAGCCTAAGTACACCCTAAGCCTAAGCCTAAGCATTTTTGTATTATTTAAAATGTCAAATGACCACGATGTATGTGACCAATACTATTCAACGCTTATAAATTAATTAAGTTCAAAATGATCTATTTTTTTAATGATTTGATATTTCTTAATTTTTTAACATTTAATTAAATTTCTAAAATTTAATTAATATTTAAAGTTTATTTTATTATTATTGCTGGTCAAATGTCCACGATTTGTGTTACCGGTACCTATGCAACGCATAAAATTCAATCAATTAATTCAATTCAACTTCTTATCAATAACTTTCTGTATAAATTAATTAAATTTAAATTATGAGAATTTTTTAGTTACACTTGACATACAATTAGTTTTTCCATTGAATCAATCACACAATGTATTTAATATTGCATTTTTTTTTTTTAATTTTATTATTTTTTGAAAAATAATTGCAACATTCTATCCTAATTTCCATTTCATAATTTGTATTTATACCAATTTAATTCTAATTTAATTAATGAAGTATTAGTATTCTTTGAATTATTTCCATAGTTTATTATTTTGTATTAATTTTTCTGTTTCTGTTTCTCTTTTTATTTGATATAGCAATATTAATAAATTTCACAAAATTTCAACTTAAAATATTGCAATTAAACTTTGTTAAGTCAAAAAAATAAATAAAGTAATAGCTGAATAACATAAATCTTTCGAATTTTGGTTTTTTTTATTAAATGATTTTTTTTAATACTTTTAATATCATTTGAAATTAAATTTTGAGAATAGTAGGACTTCTTACCCAGTTTAGTATGCAAATACCCGTACAAATTATGGGATTTTTATAAATGTGTTATT